AGAGCTCACAATCATCATTTGATTTTTGATATATGTGAAGAAGGTTTACGACCACCAATATTACCTGAAATGCCTGAAGATTATGTACAAATGATGCAAAGATGTTGGGATATGTATCCATCAAAAAGACCAACTAGCAGAGAGCTTGCTACTTTTGCTCAAAATAAACATGATGAAATTATTAAAAATGATAATGATAATACTACTAGTAGTGGTAGTAGTGCTTCGCAACAAGCACACGAATCACATCCAGATGCATATCATACAAGTAGAATATTGGATGATGAGATTGCTAAATCTAAAAGCTTTAAAAATTTTACAATTAATGATAGTTCGTTAGATAACCTTGATTTCAGCTCTTTTCTCTAAAATGTTAATAAAGATTTCATTATTAATTAATTGGAAATTAGTTAATTAATAAACATTAGATTCTAGCAATAATTGTAAAGAAAGGATCGATTTATTCTCCACTATAAATTTATTATTTATCTTTTTATTTTATCCTTGTTTGTTTCTTAAAGCTAAATTATAATAATAACAATACTTTGAAATATTAAAAAATGGTTTATCAGCACAAATATGCAGAAAATTGTATTTATCCTTTTCAAAGAGCATGGATGGATCCTTGCAAAATCTGATATAATATGTAGATTTTATTATTTTTCGTAAAGAATTTGTATATCTCAATTATTTTGATATATAGTAAGAATGACTCACAAATCTAAGAATAACAGACGCAAAACTCAAGGTAGGCTCACTAATAATCCCAAGCAGTATCTATAATTTCAAAACTGGGAGAAGTATATGCATGTCATGAATGGTGGAGATATAGTTGTAGTCAATAGGAATACGCAAGACACGAAAACAATATTTGACTATGAAGAGGTATGTAGATATCTAGAGGTAAATAATCTAGATTTGAATATTTTCAATATGTGTCGTGTGTGTTAGGTTTATAAAAATATACCCAAACTGCTTTATTAAACCTTATGGCGGTGTTGATTATGGTCGTTTCATCAGAATCATATTCATCTATAGCTCCTTTAGCCAATAACATTTTACTCATGTTGCGCAAAATCCAGTTAGAATTAATTTGCATCAGATAAGCTTAATGGGAATGAGTATACTGGAACCAGATTCCTTCTTCATGCATCGAATTTCTAGCATGGTTTTCATTTTCACTACTAATATGTCAATACTCAGCCGAGGTTACAAATGTTTATGGCCTCGTGTATCCACGCATAGTGTTTGTCGTATATAAACAGCTACTGTTAACGAGCCCATAATATTAAATATTCTGGAGTAAATACTGGTGACAATGATTGGATGGTAAAGTAATTTAACAATTTATTAATATCAACTTGCTTTCGGGATCGTGTGACAATAACTTTTGTCATCATCTAGTAAATAGCGGTGACAATTATTGGATGGTAACAATTATTAACTATTAACTTGATTTTGAGATTGCGTGATGACAACTTTTTTCATCATCTAGTACTCAAAGTAAATAACTATTTATTAATACTGGTGTTTATTATTTATTAGTAACGAGTTGCATCAATAATCACCACCACCATTGAATGATTTTTTTATGATATTAGTAAATAATATAATTGTTTTCTGGATGTTCGGATTGACCCTTTCTTGAAATTCATTATTATTATTATTATTATTATTATTATATATAGAAATATAAATAAACACTCATATCTGACGAACGTATTTTCGTTTTGATCTCTTGTTTTATTATTATTATTATTAATTAAAAAGTTCTCGTTTCGACAGATTTCAATAAACAATATATTAATATAATATTAATAATATGGTGGTGTTAAAGATTATCAGGTAAAGTTGTCATAAACATATTATATAGGTCACTACCGCAGCTGGTCAGTTCATGAAAAACTTACTGTTATCATTGTTTTTATCGTTAATAATAAAAGTTTATTACATCTTAAGCTAATTTGTTTTAAAAAAAGATACTTGAGAGAGACTATTCAAAAGGAAAGATGAAAAGGTACATAACGAAGTTTATGAAGATGATTTAAGCGTGTCGGAGTCCGACGAAGGCATCCGTTCAAGTACAAGGATGGCAACTTTGCTAAACTACATCTTCGGAAAAATCAACCAAGACTGACTGAATGTATTAGTATGAATTGATAGTGAAGAAAAGCGTCCGAGCAGAAATTATTAATTAAAGGAGAAATCCAGGAACTAATTTCAGGTCAATTGACGATGTCTGTGTTGTTGTGACCTCGCGTCTATGCTATACGCGTTTTCAAACCAATCCCAAATCAAGATAGCCACCACAATAATATTTCTATCGGCATAAATATTCAGTTAGAAGATACTCATTGTTCATGGTGCCATCAAAAGCATTATCTTATGATTTATTATTAATTAAAATTTACAATTATTTTATTATTACAAAAATACGTGTAGTGGCCACCAGCATTAAATATCCATTGGTGGATGTTTTTCTAAGATGCAATTTTTTGATTCATGGTGGGAATTCCAAAATACAATACATGTAATCCTCGGTACTCTATATTGGGGCAGCCTTTGGAACTGTGCTCATAGTAGTAACTGACGTAAATATTGCTATCCAGTTATTTCTTTGGGACAAAATGACACTTGTGACATATATGTGGTTTTATTGAACTGCTACTACTTGTCAATAACCATATTAGTATTGACAATTTGAAATAATTTAGAACATCAGTTTTTTGGGCCAAAATTGAGAGATATTAATTTAATATGGGGTACAAAACAAAATAAAATCCGCACATGAAATTTTTTTTAATAAATTTTATTTTTGGAAATGAGCAATATTTATATACAAGAACCACATACAAAGTTAGTATATATTAATATAATGATAATTATCGGTTTTTTATTTTACATACCTGCTTATATATTGATAAAACATTATATAGTGGTAAAGTTATTTTACATACTACTTCGGGTGATATTTCAATAGAGTTATTTTCAAAGGAAACACCGAAAACTTGTCGTAACTTCATACAACTCTCACTCGAAGGATATTACGATAAAACAATTTTTCACAGGTATATTATTTATACTCAAGTGAGTTTACATGATTAGGTTCTTTATCTAGAAATTATATTTAATAAAATCAATAATACATTGAAATATACTTTACAACTTATATATTTATTTATTTTTACATACATACATATTTGAAGAATTGTTCCTGGTTTTATTGTACAATGTGGAGATCCAACTGGTACAGGGCATGGTAAATATGATGATGACGAGTAATCAGCTAGATCTATAAGAATAAATAGTAAATTTTGCTATTTAGATTATATACATGATTTTATATTTTTTTTATATTACAATGTATATATAATATATATATATATATACGTATAGGTGGTGACTCAATATATGGAGGACCTTTTGTTGATGAACTTCACACACGTTTAAGATTTGTAAGGCGTGGACTTGTGGCTATGGCTAATGCAGGAAAAAATGATAACCGTAGTCAATTTTTCATCACTCTGGATAGAACTGACGAATTACAAAACAAGCATACAATATTTGGAAAGGTAGTGGATGATACAATATTCAATGTTTTAAAAATTGGCGAACTTGAGGTTGATGAGAATGAACGACCTCTTTATCCACCTCAAATAATCTCAACAGAAGTTGTTTGGAATCCTTTTGATGATATCATTCCACGTATCAGTGTTTTACAAGAAAATTTGGTTCAACAACCTCAAGTTGAAGCAAAGAAAAAGAAATTAAAAAAGTATGTTTTAAATTATTTATTTATAATTAGGTGGTTATTTATCAATAGTATTATAGTAATAATAAGAATAATAATAACTATCATTTGATTTTTATAGAAATGTGGCATTATTATCATTTGGTGAAGAGACAAATGATTTTGAAAGCGGAAACAATCCTAACCTAAAAATTAAAAGTATTCATGATTTAGTCGAGAATGATCCAAGATTAAGCAAAGAACCCGCAGTTACTGATTTTGATTTAAAACGGATTGAATCTGATAAGGTTAGAAAGAATGGCTTAAATAAATATTCTCAATTTATTTTTATTGATTGATTGATTGATTGATTGGTTGGTTGGTTGATATATTAGACGAATCAGGAAGAGGAAAAAGAAAAGAAAGATGGCAAGGATGACGATGATGACGATGATGATGGAAATGCAGAATCATTTGACAAGAAAATGAGACAAAATGTAAAAAGGATACACGAATCAATGAAATCAGACAATTCTTTGGAAAAAAGTCCACAATTATCTAAAAAGTAGGTTTTGTTTTCATTGTTATTTGTTAAGTTTTCCCTTAATTAAAATCTATTTGCTTTTTATAGAGATGCAGTTCGACAAGAGATTGAACAAGTAAAAGATGATATTAGAAAAATAGATCAACAAAAAAAATTAGAGAATGCCAAGGAATCTAAAAAAAAAGATAAAAAAAGATCATATATAGAACTTCAAAGGGAACAATATTTGGTTTCAGGTAAAGCACATGCAACTAAAAAGAAAAAAGAGAATCAGGATTTAGTAAGTGTGAATATATATTATTATAAAAATACAATATTACGTGTGAAAGAGTTTTTTTTTGATTTAATAAATGGTTTAAACTATTATCATTAGACTTTGGAGAAATTAAAAGCTTTTCAGGACAAACTCGATTCTGTGTTGCCTTCCGAAGAAAATTTAAAAAAGAAAGTTGAAGAAGTAAATTTATGCCTTCTTCACTCAGTACCTGATTGTTTGTCTTGTAGGGATACATTTGGCGAGCATAAAGAAGAGGAAACTGATGAAGGATGGTTATCGCATCTTCTTGTCTTTGAAAAAGATCTTAAAGGCAAAGATTTAATGCAGAGAAGAGACGACCCTGATGATTATGTGGTAATTGATCCTAGAGTGCGTAAGAAACAAGCCGTTGAAGACGTAAAAGCAAAGAGATCACAAAGCAACAATATAAGTGATGTTTTTCATAAAGATAACCATAAACGAAGTAGTAGAGATCACGATAAAGACAGAAATCAAGATGCAGACAGATACAATAAGGCTAGAAAATTTGACGATAAAGAACAAGATTACAGTAAAAGCAGATACAAAGAGAGCGACAGAGACCGTGATAGGGATCGTGATAGAGGTTATGAGAGGGATCGTGATAGGGACAGGTATACATCTAGAGAAAGTGATAGGGATCGTGATCATAGAAACAAGAGACATTATTAATTTGTTTGTCAAAGCGATCATGTTCTTTTTTATGTATATTCTATTTAATTAAAAACTACTTATTATTTATAAAAATAAACAACATCTTGCCACTTTTTTTTGATTTTTTTTTATAAACTATAAATCATGTGAACATGTCAACATTTAATACCCTCGAATTTATGTTGATTATAGTAAAATTTGATTGCATATAAAATTAGTCAAATGGAATTTTGGAAACCAGGAACAATTGCTCCAGGTATTTTCGTCAAACAAAATATACACGTATATTTATCATTAATATGTCGTTAACAATTTATATATACTTTAATTTTACTTAGGGGCAAGCATTGACCGTGAGACAGAAAAAGAAACAAACGAAAATATTTTTGCATTTGTAAACAATTCTACATTATCAATTCAGCAACAAAGAAAAAGATTGCCAATTTATAAATCACGTAAATATATACGTTTTATATATACATCTATATATATTGTTATTGAAATAAACATAGTAATAACTAATTTTATTTAAACTTTTATATTTTTGAGATAGGCAATCCATTATTGTATCTTGTTGAAAAATTCGAAACAACAATTATAGTTGGTCAAACTGGCTGTGGAAAGACTACACGTATGTATAATTGACTGATATATGATGAAGAATATCATTAAAAAATCTCGATTTAAACAGTATTAATGATTTTTTTTTCAAAAAATTGAAGAATTACCACAATATCTTTATGAAGCAGGTTGGGCAGCAGGTGATAGAACAATAGCATGCTCCCAGGTAATAATAATAACAATACTAGTCAAAAAAAATATCAAAAAATTTTTAATATTAAATTATTTGAGTTGACAGCCCCGTCGTGTGGCTGCTATATCAGTTGCAGATCGAGTGGCGACAGAAATGAATGTAAAACTTGGTGAGGAGGTAATTACTATGAAATCTGTATTGTTTTATTATTTTAAACCATATTTATTAAATTTAAATATTTTAATCGAAAAGGTTGGTTATAGTGTTCGATTTGATGAATGTTGTGATCCACATAAAACACGGATCAAATACTTGACAGACGGAATGCTTTTTCGTGAGGCATTCGGTGATCCATTATTATCACGTTATAGTGTGATAATGGTTGATGAAGCTCATGAACGTAGTTTGTACACAGACCTTTTATTGGGATTACTTAAAAAGTTGGTGTCTATTGGTGGGAACCAATCGGATAATAGATTAATTTTCAACTCTAACAACAACATTATTATTATCATCATCAATATTAATAATAAATTTTATATTTATGATAATAGAATTCAGAAAAAACGTCCCGAGTTAAAACTTATAATTTCATCGGCTACCATTGATGCCAAAGTATTTTACGATTTTTTTAATACAAATAAATCCAACGATCCTACAAAGGATAATGTATCTATAATATCGTTGGAGGGGAAAATTTTTCCTATTGACATACAATATTTATCAGAGCCTTGTTCAGACTACGTTGAAAAAACTATTCAAACCATATTTGATATACATGTAAAGGTATATATTGACTTTAATAATGTGATATATCATTATATTCAATTCGTTGATTGATTCATTGATTGGTAGGAGCCACCTGGTGATATTCTTGTCTTTTTAACTGGTCAGAATGAAATTAATCGTGTCGCGGAAGAAATTTTAGAAAGAGCTACCACGTAAACAACTTTTTCTTTAGCTGATTATTATTATTATTGTTTCTTTTTAATTATAATTTTAATAATGAAAATCAACAGATTACCACGTTCTGCTATGGAAATAATTACATTACCTATTTATGCTGGTTTACCATATGAGCAACAATTAGAAATATTTAAAACAACACCTTATAATACACGTAAAGTAGTTGTCGCCACAAATATAGCAGAAGCATCAATAACCATCGAAGGAATCGTGTATATTATTGATTGTGGCTTTGTCAAAGTATATATATTATTTATGTTTGTTGTATCATTATATAAATCTTTTTTATCGTTTTTTTTTTTAACAATAAAATTTTATACTGACTAATAACTAGCTACGAGCATACAATCCAAAAACTGGTATGGAAAGTTTAACTGTCTCTCCGATATCGAAAGCATCAGCTCGACAAAGAGCTGGACGTGCAGGGAGATTAAAACCTGGAAAAGCATATAGACTTTACACGGAAGATTCATTTTATCAATTCCGAGACGATAGTGTTCCAGAAATACAAAGGTAATTTTTAAAATTTATTTCTTGTTGCAAAAGTAAATGATTTTGTATCTTATTATATATACTATTTATTTTATTTCATTCAATCACCATTAAATTCAATTTTAGGAGTAATTTAGCTCAATTTATACTTCACCTAAAAGCTCTAGGCATTGATAACGTTCTACGATTTGATTTTATATCGCCACCTCCTTCTGATTTGATGATACGTGCTTTGGAGGTTTTTATTTTTATTTAATCATAAATATTATTGCACTATCCAATACATGTTTTGTACTACAATTAGATTTCGATTATAAAAAATTTATCAACTTAAATATTATTTACTAGTTATTATACTCATTGAAGGCACTTGATGATTATGGAAGATTGACAATGCCGCTAGGAATGCAGTTGGCTGAAATTCCAGTTGACGCTATGCTTGGAAAAATCGTAAGTCCTAATGTTAATCAGAATATTTATTTTAAAAAAATATTATTGCCATTATAAATTTATTTACATTGTATATTTAATTTTGCTGTGATGGTGATTATGTATTAGTTATTAGATTCTTACAAGTATCAATGTGGCGAAGAAATACTAACAATAGCAGCAATGCTATCAGTACAAGTATGTAAAAGTAAAAATAATATTTTTTATAGTAATATATATAGATGCACTAAATTTCTTAGTTTATTTATTTTTAGAATGTATTTATTATGCCATCAAAACCTTCAAAAGAATTTGAAGATGAGAGAAGGAAATTTGCAGTCGAAGAAGGCGATCATATCACATTATTAAATGGTTAATATCATTAATTTATTTTCACCTATAGATCAATTAAGTTAATTAATTTTTTTTCTATAGTTTTTAATGCATTTGTAACACAAGGAAAAAAATCTCGTAGATGGTGTTATGATCATTCATTAAATTTTCGTGCATTATCAAGAGCTTTATCAATCCGTCATCAATTACGAAAATATATGGAAAGGTTTGATGTTCCAGTTGAATCTTGTGGCACCGGGAATAAGGATAATATTGTAAAGATACGCAAATGTCTTGTTAGTGGATATTTTGCCAACGCAGCTAAAATGTTGCCTGATGGAAGTTTTCAAACTATTAGAAATAATGCCGTATGTTTCTATTCAATAATAATGATTTTTTTCCTTATTGCCGTAATTATTATTATATATATACATATTTTATTTATTATTTACAATTAGATTTTACATGCTCATCCATCATCTGTCTTATTTAATCGTAACGCCTCTTGGGTTATTTTTCATGAAGGTTCTATATTCATATTTTGAAAGTATTCGGGAAATATATAAATTTCCACAAAATATTTTAATTAAATTTTTTAAAAAATTTTTTAGTTGTTGAAACAACAAAGCCTTATATGCGTGACATGACAGTTATAGATCCAGCTTGGTTATCTGAATTAGCGTAAGTGAATAAATAATATATATTATATATATATATATATATATATAAAGTTCATTTTACAATAAATTTTTTTAACCTTATTTTTTATTTTCATTTTATTAGCCCTCATTTTTACAAATTCAAAAAATGACAAAATAAAATTATTTTTTACAATGGCTTTTTTCAAATCATCAATCACAATAATAGCTGATTTTTTTCTAATTCAATTAACAATACAATATAAAATAAATACCCTCTTGAAGTGCTAAAATAACTGATGATTATTATCTAAATCCTATATGGGAATCTGGTTGAAAGATTCCAATGGAAAACAAATTTTTTGGAAATTTAAATTTATAATGATAATCAAAGTAATTGATTTCAAGCTTGAATCCATGGACACCAATTAGTACATTCAAATTTAGAGTCCGTCATTTTCTCAAGGAGATGAGCACGGAGTTGTTTGCACTTTTAATCATGTTATTGATATCAAAACATTCCTTTCCAGAAAGCAAGTTAAACTGACCTCCACGTTCCCGGGTATAATGTAAATGACTTTGATTCGGGGGCAAGGTAAACGGTGTGCTCTGATATTTCGCATTTGAGCTCTTTATCTTTTAAAGGGTTTATTGAAGCTGCCTGGTGTAAGGAATTCATCCCAAGTCGAATAGGGATAATGAAAGAATACCTGCATAAAGAGCGGAAAGAATATATTGTTATTCATCTGAAAATGACTTTTAAAGACTTAAACCATCATGATGTACGTTTATGCATCAACTTGGAGATTTTGTTATAATTTGAAAACAAAAGGAATTTTTCAGATATTATTACACTAACTAATTACGTGCGTGTCCTGATGGATAATAATAATAGAAATAAGGGTTTTGTCAAAAATTTAATCAATGAAAAAAGAATATATGGTATGAGTATTATTACTAATAATAAATTTTTTATTTTAATTTACTAAAATAATATTTGCCACACTGCTATCAACTCGAACTTCAGCATTTTCATCAGGATCTATATGTATGTTGAAAATGTGATTTATAATTCAAATTTTGTTCTTCAAATAAAATTACCCAATAGTAATTTTTTTGTATCATACGTATTAACAAGTGTTAATGCTTTATTATTTTTAGCGCAGGAACGTATGTACATTTTGATTGTATTTGTGTCATTATTTTATTCATCAGTATTCTGGTAAAGACAATCATTAACTCTGGCAATTGATATATCGTGTAATTCTGGTACAAAATCGTCAGTGATAGATGATAATTGTGATGAAATTTGTTTAATATTTGCAAAATTATCTAAAAAGAGATCAGCAGTTTTATTAATTGGACAAAATATAAATTATTATTATTTAAAAAAATTTCACGTACCTGTTATTGTATTGAAAGAATCAAATGATGGAGTATTTAAAAGGGTAATCGATATAAATGCTGCATATATAAAAATAATCAAAACAAATGTCCAGGCTGGTAAAGCAAGAGCCCAATATCTATATATAAAAAAGATTTGATGAAAATTATATTGATGATGATAATAATAAGATTATTTATTATTTATTTATTACCTATTTGGATAATAAGTAATTCCCATTGAATCTTTGATTTCATCTGGCAAGTAAGCCCATAATAAATAAATTGCTAAGATAAATTTTACAAACGAACATTAGACATTAAAAATAATTAATATTTAACTCATTATTGATTAATTGATTACCAAATGCTATAAAAGAGAATAAATATAAAACAAATCCATAATACTCATACGTTGGAGTTTCTGTCAAGGTGGTAGGGGAGTCATCTGTTTGGAAATTGGGCATTTTTTTTTCTGATTAATTCGTGCCACGCATCTGATTATATTTTTATTTTTGTTTGTTGATTTTCGATGTCAATCTGATGATTATTAATTTTCCCGACGCAGCAACTGACATAATCATTTATTATTTATTAATATTATATGTAAAATATAAAAATGATCAGAAGACGATTTTTGATTTTTATTTATTGGTTTATAGGTGATGCGATTCCAAAAATCTTTGGTGGCTATATATTCTAATACCGTCAATGCTTTTCTTCAAGTCAGGGAACGTTTATTTAATTTTCAAGTGACCAAGAACAAGAATAAATTTCATAGTGAAGATGCTAGTAATAAAAATAACTATACACAAAGAATCAACAAGTTGCAAATGCCAGTAAGGCCTGACTATAGCGCACCTAAATTACCAATTGTTTTATGTCACGGTAAGTTGAGTTGTGTTAATTTTTATTGTTATCGGTATTCTTTTTAAGTTTTTAAAATCATGATTCATTTTTTTTAATTAGGACTGTTTGGATTCGATAAACTTGGTTAGTTGTATATATATATATATATATTCGAAAATTATTTATCTAAAAAGGATTATCCCAACAAATCATGTTATTTATTTATTTTTTAAAAAAGGGTTTGAGACAATTCCATATTTACAATTACACTATTGGGGAGGCGTACAAGAAGCTCTACAAAAGCTTGGTGCCAAAGTTGTCGTTACTAAAGTTCCAGGGTATATTTAATCAAAGATGCCATATTCTATTTCAATTGATGATTGATTGATTTATTATTCATTGTTGTATATTTACAAGAAATCTATTCTTTGATTTCAAATAAAGAACTGGTTGTATTCGTACTCGTGCACTAGCTCTACAGCGTATTTTGGAATCTAATTTACATGGTGGCTGCGAATTGAACTTGATAGCACATTCGATGGTTTGTATTGATTGATGATAATTAATTAATCTAATAATATCTCCATTCACATGTTATTATTTGTTTGTTTATCACATAGGGTGGTCTTGATTGTCGATACTTAATTACACATTTACCAACAGATAGTTATAGTATACGTTCTCTGACCACAATAGGGACACCACACCGCGGTAGTCCTTTTATGGATTGGTGTAGAGATATCATAGGTTTAGGAAAGCTTTCTAAATCATTCGAGACAGCTGAAAAGGCAGCTGATCATTTGCTCAGAGAATTAGATGAAAGATGTCGTAAAGTTGAGCAATTAGATCAATTGAACAAAAACCGTTCCGATTCCAATAAAATTAAAAACAATAGTAATAACTCGAAAGATTACGAGATGTCTAGTTCACTAAAGAATAGCAGTAACAGTAACAGTAATAATAATAATAGTAGTAGTCCATCATTAAACTTTATTTTACCATCGTTACCCCACCTAGGCTATAAAACATTGGATATTTCTTTATTATCAACCTTACCACAAAAATTTTCATCTTTATTACATACGATAATACACGCATTTGACACTCCAGCTTACAGTAATTTAACAACAGATTTTTGTATGAATTCTTTTAATCCAAACACTCCAAATCATCCTTCTGTAGCTTATTATTCATATGGTGCTGCAACTGAAATTCCAATATGGTCACCATTACATCTTCCTTATCAGATAATTAAAGAGAAAGAAGGTCCAAATGATGGTTTGGTTAGTGTAAAATCTGCTCGATGGGGGAGATACGTGCGTACAGTTGAATGTGATCATTGGGATTTGACAGAGTGTTGGAGATTCAAACTTGGTTCATCAAATCAATTTAATCCTGTAGAGTTTTATGTTGAAGTTGCTAATTCATTAGCCAAAGAAGGTCATTAAATAATAATGATAATAATGATAGTAATAATATAAACAAAATTTTTTTTTCAATGATTGATAAAGGCCTGAGAAAATTTACAATTCGTAACAAAAGTTTTATATTAGGGAATTTAGACAGTTATTCCTTTATTAATACTAATTTTTAAATTTTGTATTTGTCGTTTGAAAATAAAATTTTCAAGGCAATAAAAAATAATTGGTTATATTAATTAGTTGTATTACCAAGACTATGTCGCATTCGTCAAACTGACCGAACTGCGTTTGGTTAAAGTGAAGGTAGTAGTAGAAAAAAAGAGTTACTATTATTGTTATTATTATTGTGTTATATGGGACTTGAAGTTGAATGCGTTAAAAGATCTACGTGTCGCACATAAAACTCTTCTCTATAAACATATATTATAACGTAGTCACATAATAAAAAATTTTGGCGCAATTATATATAGGGGGTCTAGCTCAAATGGTAGAGCGATCGCTTCGCATGCGATAGGCACTGGGATCGATACCCAGGTCCTCCATGAAAGAAAGCTTTTTTGAAAATTCCATTAAATTTGATATTAGGATCATTATTCAAGATTTATTTATTTTTTAATTACGATAATAATTAATTTCTAGTTATTAAAAGAAAAAAAAAAAAAGTAAATAATATATGTACATTGCATTGAATGATTTTAATTTTCATTAAAATCTTTTAGCAAAGAAGAAATGGCGTCCACAGTACCCACAACACAACCAATTAAACCCACCAGTATCACAAATAAATTTAAAATCATTTCCCAAATAGTCATACTATTCCACCCAAACAATCTAACATAAAATACTACGGGTAATACAAATACTAATAAACAGTTTGCGAATGCGCCTAGCAATGACATAAAATCGCCAAAAAAAGGAACTAGTATCGCAATTATCACGGAAATAATAAGATGACATGTACGAAATCCTGCTCGAAGAAAGAATTCCATCAAAGGTGAATGATATTCTGTTGTGATCTTTAAGGATTTCTCGGTATCATATGCAAACGAAGTCATGATAATTGGCGCAGTTAAAAGTACATGGATAGTGATAAAAATTAATGCTAATTCCAATGGCAACCCTAAATTATTATGAAAATGATAACAAAAGATTAACTGAAAATTATTCGTTAATTAAATTCAAAATTAATCAATTAATTAACAATAATAATGATATTATTATTACCCTTTGGTAAGTTATTAAGAATAGGACTTGTAGTAAGATCTCCATATACATAATATCCTGAAAATGCAACTAAACTATACATTAGAGCACATGTACTCATGGTAGCAATAGCCACTTTATTCCAGTTTTTTGGTTTTTCCATGTTTTCTTCAATGTGTGGGAAAACATTATTACCGCCAAAGGAAAAAGAAATTGTAGCCAAAGCAATTGGAAATTGAGAAAATGCAATAAAGTCGTGAGAAGGTGGATCCGGTAAATTGCGAACATCAGAAAGATCTTGAAATGAAAGGACAACTATAACAATGACACAAAAAAACGTAGCAAAAGAGCCAAATATGCTAATTTTTAATAATTCAAAATCAAATAAGATAAAGATTAATTATTGGTTGACAAAAACCAAAATTTAAATTCGCTTAATATATATATAAAAATATAATATAAACCTTAATATTAATACTTCTTTTAATGTTTTAGTTAATATAAATGGTATTGCAACTAATGATGCACAGATACATGTCCATACTCGAAATCCCAAATGAAGCCCCAAATTGTCACTTAAAGCATCGAAATTTTGAGCAGCCAGTATAAAATATAAAATAGGAACGCCGACTAGTATCACATTGTTGAATATACCCACTAATATGTATTTACCAAATTTACCATATGCATGATAGCCAATGTCTTGATACGTGTCGAGACGTGATTCTCTGGTGAACAAATAATAATAATATATTGTTATTAGTGAAAACAGAATAAAACAAAAAATACAAGAATAATTAATTACCCATCATAATAAAGACATTTAATCAACAGTATACTGGTATGTATGGAAATTATCATTGATAAAATTATCAAAAACAATCCAACCCACCCTCCTTGCTTAAGAGCATATGGCAATCCTAAGATTCCTGTCCCTGCTACTACACAACTAAAAAATTATAAATTTTATTATTATTAACTTTATTTATAATTTTGTTATTATTAATTTTACTTTTAATTTTATAGGTAGCAAGTAGTAAGTAACTCACGTAGCGTGTATATAAGCAGCAAAGCTTGAACCTTTAACATCAACTACTCCTTCGGCAATTTGTATGTTGTTATTAATATTAAATTGACGATCTTCATGACTAGTCAATAATGGCTCTTCAGATTCTATAGAGTATCTGTCTATTTCCGTTATTTGATTTTTATTAATTAACAACATCACTATAATAATAGTACTCGTAGATTAACTAAAGAAACCACAATTGCTGCGCTATAAATAGGATTAAGCCCCTTCTTTCTATTTTCAAAACCGGAAAAGACAGGTGTTCATTATTATTAACTAAGGAAGGATGAATAACCTTAATATTAATTGGTGTGATGAATAAAAAGGACTTATAAGGTTCGGGGTAATATGTTGGGGCCCAAATCTTCCTAAATATGGTAATTTAATGTGATTTGTTAAACCATTAAATGTTCAAGTAAAAATGTTGGTGGATGTTTTGTATGAACTAAATCTTTAATGAAGAAATATACTCTTATTGGTAAAAAAAAATATATTAATTAGGATGAGACGATGATGGTGATATTGATTACAATCGGAAGAGTAGATGATGATGGATTTAAGTAGTTTCATCATATGATACAATCCTTGAAGATTTCCGCTAGTGATTGTCTAGCTCTTGTAACTTTTAAGTTTGTAAAAATAAGGGAATGAATGATATGATGTAAAAATGTTGAATAAGAAAAGTCATATTAGTTAATTGATTAAAATAAAAAAATAGTGATTTTTTCCTGCATCAAATATAATCGTACGCTGATTTTGTTTGAATCTCAAAATTCAGTACGGTATTATTATACTAGCAAAAACCCCATTTGACTCAGTTGGTTTGACAATATGATACATGGTTTGAAAAAAAGGCCAAAAAAACAAATCGAAGTCTGGTGATTTTATAACCTCTTAATATAAAAAAATCGTGGGAAAAAAACAAGTGTCAAACAAAGAATATTTCCATTACCAATTTCGTCGTGTAACAATCTATACAAATTTAGATAGGACGGGAAAAAAACTATTTATTGCCGCAAAAAAATATGTATTTGATTTAATAATTACCCGATTGATTGATTAATTATTTTCATATACCTTAATGATGCGAATAAATATGGTCTGTAACATACAAAATTTTTCAAGCAAGATAAACAATATACTGTATTATTTATTTAATGTTACAAAGAACAATTGAAAATTTACCATTTTTGTTTATAATAAATATTTGATTGATGTAATACGAGACAGATGGGGTCTGGAAATTGGATGGGGGGGTATGCTGCAGACAAAGTGAACATTTTGTATTACCAAATTCATAATTGACATGTTGCACAAATGTTCTACATAGTAGACCACTTGGTGTCGTACAGATTTTTTTGACACGATTGATTTTTTGGAAAACAACTCATTTGACAAAATCCAAGGTAACAAAATGCGAGTGTTGTTGTTTGGCATGGTTCTCCTAAAGATGTGTTAATAACTAACCAGGGGCATTTTTTTTATTTGTATTGATCTATATATTTTGGTTATTATAAATATTTTAATTGAAATCAGAACGTGGGAAGATCTTGCTGGATAATTATAAGATTCTTGATGATGAATAAACGATTGGTATTTCACTTTGCGTAATCGCAATCAATATTAATATTATTATAAGATGTCAAGGCAACACATCGTCGAAAAGAAACTTTTCGATATGCGATGTTTGATTATTGGAAATTGGCAGGCGTTGAAGCATGCACACTACCTTGAACACTTACAGTCATTCTCACACGTTCCTTGTGTAAACAAGGCTAATCTGACCAGCTTGCCCTGAGATACTATGAATGATGCAAATAAAATTCAGGGGGGTACGTGGCCCTGGAATTTATGAGACTGCATCAATCGTCAATGATATTTTCACTAATCTTCCCTCATAGCACCAGGCTGCTGGCATGTTAGACGAAAAGTTTCCTGCAACAATCCTGGTAAGGATGGCTCTGTCACCATGATCACTGGCATCAAGATGAAAGCTGTAAATAAAATGGTTCGGATTTTGTTTGGTATGTTATAAATTAATCATTTTCATAAATTCTCTGTTTCTCTTTAATTTTTGTTTGGCCAACTGAATTTGTTATTTAAATGAATGGGATAGAGTAGGCGTGTCACCAACAAGACAGCAACCCAGGACTCAAAACTCTGAATTCAAGGAAAATCTAAATCAGTAACCCATGTTGCAAACTTCAGAGTCGGAGAATTTTGAATCAGTTGAAGACACTGACTTTATTCTGGTGAGAGGGATATAACACAAAGTCACCAACACACAAGCACCAACTATCATCGATCAATGCCCATATGGAATCAACAGCCTGGTCTGAGAGGGAGATAAGGGAAATATTTGTCCAAAGCCTTCCAACATGTTCAACCCTCTTTCACCTGTGGGAAAAAATTCCATGGTGCTGAATTGTGCTTTATTGCACCGTGATTGCATGTTTGTGATAGGAAATTTTTAATTAAATCTGATACCTGTGATCAACATCAGATTTATTATTCAGAAAAAAATAATTCATTTTGTGAATCCCAAAGATTTGGGTAGACATGAATTATTAAAAGTTTCATTCATGCATGGTCTTGTGTGATGCAATTGTTTGTTATATCAATGATAACATCAAATGTATTAAACAACCATCAAAATATTTAATGGATGGAAGCATTCACATACAAGGAAATGATTAAATAGCTAAGTCTTTTTTGTTTTGCTTTATCAAAATATATGATTAATTATATTTAAAATATACAATAAAAAAATCACATGACTGCACCACTATGTCAAGCTAATTATTTTGTATCACATCTTTTTTTGGTTATAAATAATCTACACAGCGAGTTTCGATTTAACAGACATGTTTGTACCATAACCAGGAAATTTAAAATATAATAACGTAATAACAAGTTTTTAAATGAAATCATGACAGTGAGCTTCATGCCTTTTACTTACACAACGACATCACTCAGTCAAGACAATAGTCAATTTTATTAATTCAAAAAAAATATAAATAGGATGGCCATCCACACCAGGGCTAGAAATAGTACTTTAAAAATCCAGATTTTCCTTTTTACAAGTGAGATTATTATTATTATTATTTTCCGGAATTCGCTGGCTAGTTCAAAGGTATTTTTTCTCAAGAACAAAAAAAGATGGATAAATTATATAATGACTTTAAGAATTTATTTGGCGAAAATGACAAATCTTCCAATATGTATATTTTTTATATATATTTAGCATATACAAGGAATCTATCATTCTCTGAAAAAGAAAAAACATATATTAACTCAAAAGTTCATTGTAAGTATTTATATATATGTATATAATGAACAGTACTAGTTATGATGAAAGGTATCAACGAAAAGAAATATATATTGCTATCCCTAAGCTGGGTTTCTGCAATATATATATTAATGAAAAAAAAAGGTTGCTTCTTGATATATTGATGAAAAAATAGATATATTGCAATCCCTAAGCCGGCCAACTATTATGAAGTTCATTTTATTTTCATATATGTTAAAATGCAAAAAAAAAAATATCTAGTTAACACACATTATTTGTGCACATATACAATTATATTTATTTCAGAATCCGCGGTATGTCAATACAGCAAGTATCTTCTATTCCTTGATAAAAGAATTGAAAAGAAAACACCAATACACCAAATATTGGAAGACTATTGAAGGATGCGCAGAGGATTGTGACATTTAGGAGTCATTACGTGATCTGAACATAGTAGACAGTAATGAAACTGTTTCAGAAGAAGATAGTAATGATAGTGAATATGAAGAAGCCACGTTTGAAAAATCAAAAAAAAATTTTTAATTGGTATCCACTAATTTGGTATAACGGGAAGTTACTAGAATTAGAAGTTAATTTTGCATACCCAAAAATTTTTTTGCCAAACCTGAATGCAAACTCTGGTAACCGGTTACATAACCTCCCGTTACATTTAGCATTTCAATTAACTCTTTTGATTTTTAAGATTTTTAAAAAAAAGATTATCTTACCTATTATTGTTTTTATTTAATAATTTCCCACAAAGTATCTTGATATACACAGTGTACCAAGGTTGATATGCGAAAATATCAACCAAATACAATTGAATCTTGATAATTTTTGACCAATCCATAAAAAATAATCGTAAATTACACAAATTATTGAAACAAAATGGATTAAGTGGATTGCTAAAATTAGTGATGCAAAAGAAAGTAGAATTTAACAACTTTCAAAAGGATTTCATCAAGGATTTTATGGTCCAAGGAATGGCTAATATGCCATACGTTAATCACATTGAAAGGAGCTTTTATTATGGAATGATGTATAATTTAATTTAACACACACTTTATATATAATGTTATTTAATATGAATTTAATTATTTCAAATTTCAAATTTAAGAAATGTAATTTGGAAGAGCAGCTTCTAGCTATAAATGTTAATGAAAGGACTTATTCTTTCGATTTAGCATATCAAATCATAAATTTTGTATTTCTAAATGTAGAACAAATAGAATGGAGCCAGGAGGAATTTCCGTTTTTTTTCAGATCTTATTTCCAGCCCTGGTCCCCACATTTTTTTTTTCGTAACCTCTCTCGACCAAATTCAACCTCTTATTATTATTTCATTCATAATTGAAAAAAAAAACTATTTTTAGATGATCTGCATAACAAGCAATCAGAATTTCGTACCCAAGTAAGCCACCCTTAATCAAAAAAAAATTTAACCACATCAATCAAATTGAATTAAAAAAATCAGCTAGCGAAATAGAAAATTTGTTTTTAAAGAATTCATTCAAGGCTTGCGCATTTCTTTCAAACCTTATTGATTTAAGAAATTTAATCTCTTATAGTCATTTGCGACATTGACGTCCACTTTTAAGCAGTCAAAATCAAAAGATAGAATGTCCAATGACTTCCAGGAAGAAGCTCGACTCATCGCCACATAGATTTGTCCTGTTGCAAACATGTTATGGTCTATAGTCAAGGTTGCATGTGGCAGTGTTAGGCCTCAAGTTTGTGCACAGTAAGAGCAAATGCATTCTGCAACGGAAATTGACACCTTGATGCCGGTACGCCATTGATATCAAAATTTGCAATGCTTTTCTGAACGTTGATTTTCATCACATCGTTAGTTGTTGGGAACGTAACT